CATCACCTATATACTTGCTTACAAAATCTAAAAGATAACATCGAGCCAGGTGTGGTGGCACACACCTGTAATCCCAGCACTTGGGAGGCAGAGGCAGGATTATTGCAAATTCGAGGCCAGCCTGAACCGCATATTTAGACCTTGTCTCAAAAAAAAAAAAAAAAAAAAAAGAAAAAAAAAGAAAAGAAAAAGATAACATCAGAAATAAAAACCTGTGGGAGCTACAATGTAAACACAAACAAAATTCTACCACAGAAACAAGCTTTGCTTCAACTGTCATACCCAAGGTGGTCTTCACACGTTACAACTGCATGCTCCATACACAACCATCATTTACACTGATAGTACCTATGTTTTGTTTTTCTATACTTTTGTGTAGGGCACAGTTCACATCTTTTTTTTTTCTTGCTGTTGTAGTAGGTCTCTGTGATGATGTGCCTGTCTGTTTACCTGTCAGCTCACCAGTGTACTCCATAATTTTTTTTGCATACTTCCCTGGGTAGAAACATTTTGTTTTTCCTCTGCTGAAAATAATCTCTCTTTCTCCCTTTTTTGGGGGGGTCTTTCTGAGCCAGGGTTTTGCTATGCAATTCAGGCTGGCCTTGAACTTGCAGCAATCCTCCTGCCTCAACCTCCTGATGTAAATGATCTCTTATGAGCTCTAGTCCCAAACCTCTAAGAAAATTTCTCCATGATATTTTGCACTTGTTATTTTCTTTGGAAACTATCAAAATATTATACCACAAATGCTTAGGATTGAATAAGTTAGAACCATTGGCCAATGTTTTGTGTTTCAAATGACATCATAGTTGCCACATAACTCATCAAGAACATCTACTCCACCTTCAATTTTGTTGTTGAACGTTTCCATTTCAGGCTTCTGTTTTGTTGAGGTTTCCCTATCAATATTTCCATTATGGTGAAATACTGACGTCAGCAGTCCCAGTTTGCTTTTCTTTGCTATACACAAGGCTAATGTTATATCTTTCTGAAATCCAAAGACTGTACTATACAATTCTCTGTTTGGAAATTGCAACATTTCTCTTGGAATTTATGCTTTGTCCCTGCTTACAATTCCTGGGCTGATCAACTTGTGTTCTGTTAGCAAACGTAACATCATTTGGAAATTGGTAGACCAATTGTCGAATATCACATTCTGATTAGTTTGGGAGATGGGAGGAACAAGTCTGTTTATAATATCATTTAGTTTATTGCTATACAAATAAGGACCTAATAGCTGAATTCCAGGATAAGTGCCTAAATTGAAGGAATAGTAAGTCTTCAAATCTACAGGGGCATACATTTTTATGCAATGTTTTGTCCAATTGATTTTCCATAAGTCTTTTATATTCTTGCAATCACCATGAGAAATCCCTGCTAAGTACAACAGACCTATGAATGCTTTCAGTTCAGTTAGTGAGGTGTCATAGTAAATACACTTTTTAATATGGCTATTGGTGCATAAAGAATGTTTTACTTGCATTTCAGCTGTTGTATATTTCACAGCATCTTCTAGCATTTTGTCTGTTACAGTTACCAATATTGAATGGCAGTGCTCAAATTCTGCTCAATACATTTCACACCTGACAAGACTTTCACTATATTTTAGGACCTAGTTCTAACATTGGATTGTTCCATTTGCTTGTGTGGTCATTTTACAACATTTTGGCTAGTCAAATATGTACTCACATTGCTGTTTTTCTTCATCATCTGAATCAAGAAGGTCTGCAGTCCCTGTGTTTGTATCAGTCAATTCTTGCTCCATTTAACTGTCATAGGAACTTTGGCTCATATGGCCAAATCAAAGTTGTTGATGTCATGAATATCATCATCATTCATCCACGCTATTCTTCTCTTATGAAAGCATGTATTTTACCATAATGGATCATCTTCATCATCCATGCATGAGTAATCTAATAATTCACTTTTGACCTCCTCAAAAACTTGCAAATCAATTTTTCATGTTCCACTGTACTCAACTGGGCTACTTCTACAAGAGAAATCAAAAGAAAACTTTTTTTTTTTTTTAAAAAAAACAAATCCTAGAGTGGTGTGGGTCTATTGGACCCTCTGTGATGCTTGGGTAAACAAATGCAAAAACTGTTCCACAGCGTATAAAGGTGGGTACAAATCCCATTTTGCCACTTTTGCACATGTGCATACACCTTGCCATTCATCATACCAAGTGGGTAAACAGATTACTTCCTGTATCCCTCAGGGAAGGATACTGAGTTGCATAGCTGGTTACTATAATGCTAAAGTACAAATTTACAGTAAAAATAAGGGATGAGTCTGCTAGACCCAGTCTTATGCTCCCAGGAAAAGCTTTTGCACAGCAAAAGAAACCATCAACAGAGTGAGGAGACAACCCACAGAGTGGGAAAAAAGTTCTGTCAGCTGTTCCTCAAAGGGTTTCTATCTAGAATCTATAAAGAACTCAAAACAATCAGACTCCTCAAATTTAAAGCCCCAACCCAAAAATGGGCATCTGAAATGGATAGATACTTCTCAGATGAAGAAGTAGAAATGGTAAATAAATATATGAAAAAAGTTCAACATCACTGGTCATTCGAGAGATGCAAATTAAAACAACAATGAGATTCCATCTCACCCCAGAAAGAATGGCTATTGTAAAGAAATCAACCAATAACAATTGCTGGTGGGGCTGTGAGGAAAAAGGAACTCTTTTCCACTTTTGGTAGGAATGTAGACTGGTGCGACCACTGGAAATCGGTGTGGAGATTCCTAAAAAATTAAAACTAGAGGTTCCAGCTACTCCCCTTTGTGGTGTCTTCCCAAAAGAATTAAAAGCATCATAGCACAGCAATATATGTACACTCATGTTTATAGTGGTACAGCTTGTAATAGTCAAATCTTGGAAATAGCCCAAATGCCCATCAACTGATGAATGGATAGATAAGATGTGTTTTTTTTTTTTAAAATATAAAATGCAGTACTACTCTGCCATAAAGAAGGATAAGCTTGGGACATTTTTAGCTAAATGGCTGCGCCTTGAGACCATATTCTTAAGTGAAATAAATTGGACCCATGTTTCAATACCAAATTGTTTCTCTGATACAAGAAACTGAAAGTGTAAATAAGGACCAATATGTATAATAGGTATTGTGAAATAGGAAGAAAATGTTCAATTGAAAGGGGAGAAAAGGGAGAGGGAGAAGGGACAAGGAAAAAAAGTAGGATAAAATGGAAACAAAGTTTTTGAATATAAGGAGGGGAGGGGGATGAAAAGAGGGGAAAGGTGTGAGGAACCACTCAAAGTTCTGGGGCATCTAAGGACACCTGAGGATGTGACCCTGCTTGTCTAGCACACAATGCGATACAGTTATGTAACCACGACAGCACAGGTAAACATGCATGTGGTGGTTACAGCACTATGTAAGAATGTAAATATGAGATAACAACCTATATAAAAATTACACAGTAAAGATGCAGGAGGGGTTTGCTCCGGCTCTTGAGCTCTTGAGCTGTGCTCTGCTCCCTGCTCCCTGCTGTAGTTGCTGATGTGTTGCACACATGCATTCTTTAACCTTGGGACTGAACCCTTGAATATCTGCCGTGGTCTCCACCCCCAGCAGGCCCACAAGGAGATGAAGCGAGGGGAGGGGAATGGGAAAGGAAGAAGCAAGATATACCATGTACAGGTACAAATTCTCTATGATGAATGTTATCATTATGTATATCTAAAATATACCGATAACCCACCCCCACTAAATAAATACATGGATAATTGCCCAGGCTGGGCTGGAACCTTTGATCCTCCTCCCTCAGTCTCCCAGAGTGCTGGGATTATATTGTAGCAGAACACCCCCCCACCCCAGTATACTTCAGTTGTCCAGGTGACAGTTTCTGTTGCAGTTCTGGTTACTGCTGGTCACTGTGAGGCATATTGTAGGAACCAATCAAAGACAGCCAAGCACTCTACCTCTGTACTTCCCCTTTGCAACCCCATAAAAATCTCCCTCCCTGGGCCTTCAAGGCCTGACATCTGGAGGGACAGCTGATTCCCTGTTGGTGCCTGTCCCACGTTAAATAAATCTGCCTCCAAATCCTGGGTGTTGTTTTCATGCTTCTGTTTACTGTAGCGCTGTGACTAGCTAGCCACAGCTTCTTTTCAGATAAAAAGCTGTTGACTGGGGTGGTAGACAGAACAGTGTGCCTCCCCAAAGATGTCCGCGTTCTAACTCCTAGCACCTGTGACATTAGGCTAATGACAAAGGGCAAGTAGGGCTCCTAATCACACAGTCTTGAGAATGGGAGGCCCCCAGCTTATGAAGGAGCCCAGTGTAATCAGAGAGGCAGAACCCGGTCACAGAGAGGTGGCCCTAGGAGGAAGATTCAGCCAGCACTGCTGCACTGGGACACAGAGGGGGCCCTGAGTGAAGATGCCCTCCGGAAAAGGAATCTTCTCGCGGTCTCCAGGAAGGAACCTGGCCCGACTCTCACCTTGACAGCCCTGTCCTGCTCCGACCCGCACAGCCAGAGGAATATACTGGCCTCCTCTGGAGCTATGAGCGTGCAGATGGGTTACCAGGGAGGAGGTGCCATGGAGGAGCTCGCACCAAACCGCAGAAGCCCCTGACGCTCTGGGATGCGGGGGGGTCCCCCCAGCTCCTCAGCGCCCTGCAGACTCCGAGGGTCGGGCAGCTTCCCCACGCCGCGCCGGCTCCTCACCCAGGACTCTTCTTTCTCTCTTTCCTTTTTCTTTTCTTTCGAGGTTGTTTTGACCCCTTCTCCTCTACACACGCACTGCGCACACAGAGTGGCCCGGGCAGCCCGGGAGCCCCGCGCCCACCACGGCCACCGGAATCCGATCACCGCTCCGAGCCCGCCCGCTCTGCTGCCCCACAGTGCGCGCACCCTAGTGGGATGCGAGTTCCTGGGGGCAGGGGCGGGAGGTTTTATTCTTCCACAGCAACCGTCCGCGTTAGGATCCGAGTGGAGAGAGGCCGCAAGGGGGCGGGCACGGCCGTGCCACTCACCCATCCGCGCGATCGCAAGTGGCAGCGGCTGGAAGTCCTCGGGCTCGGCGTGGCGCGGCCCCACGGCCCGCGGGAGACTCGCACCCGCCCCTGCAGGAAGCGCGTGGCCGGCGCGGGTGAGGGGGCGCGGCCGCAGCAGCGCCCACGGACGTCCCGCGCGCACATCCACCTGCAGCTCCATGGGCGTCACGCGCCCGGCGCTGGGGGCGGCATCTCTGGCCTGGTGCTGCCGTCCCGCGGAGACGCGGCCGGGGTCCCAGATCGCGGGGTGGGGGCCAGCTTCGGGGGCAGCTTCGTGTCGCAGGGCAGGTCGGACCCGTTCTGGGACCTCGTGCCCACGCGCGTCGTTGGGAGCCGGGCCCAGCGCGGCCGCCCTCCGTCTGCCCGGGGTGCAGAGCGGAACCAGGGTAGCATCAGCGCTGCCTCCTGAGCCGGGATTGGTTCGACCCCGTAGCTGAAAGTTCAAGCCACGCCCCCTAAAAAGACCACGATTTGATTGGTTGTGGCTACCTCCTGGTCACGCCCCCTCAGGACACCGGTGCTCAGAGAAAGTAACTTGGAGCCTAGGGGAGGGAATCCGCACCCCGCCCTCTCCTGCTTATACTTTGTCCATGTCCGTACCCATTTCTCTCTCTGGTCCAGTGGCACAGGGTTGGTTTTGAAAATTACAGTTAGAGCCAGACGCGTTGACGCACGCCAGTAACCTCCGCATTACTGGGAGGCTGAGGTAGATCACAAATTTGAGCTCAGGCTGGACAATTTACCAAGTCTTTACTATTTTTTACGTTTGTTTTTTGAGACAGTGGTTCACTGTTGTAGTGCATGCTGGCCTCGAACTCACTATGTAGCCCAGGCTGGCCTCGAACTCTTGACGATCCTTCTGGCATAGCTTCCTGAATGCTGGGGTTACAGGTGTGCACTGTTATGCCCAGCCTTTGTTTTAAAATTTTAAAACATTTTTTTAAAGGGCTGGGGCCAGGCGCGGTGGCGCATGCCTGTAATTCCAGCACTCGGGAGGCTGAGGCAGGAAGACCACCAAAAGTTCAAGGCGAGCCTAGGCTATATAGTGAGTTTAAGGTCAGCCTGAAATACACAGTGAGACCCTGTCTCAAAAAGTGTGTGTGTGTTGGGGGAGGACTTGGGGATATAGGTCAGTGTGAAGGTCCTGGGTTCAATCCCCACTACAACACGAAAACATAAAACAGATTTCTGGGCTGGTGATGTAACGTAATGGTTGTGTTGCAATAGAACTGGCAAAAACAGTCCAGGTTCTCATGTACGACAAGAAAAGACTTACCAAGGTAGTAAGTAGTAAGTAGTAAGTAGCTACGTTTAAGGAAGATCACTGGATGGTAGCAACAGGGGTGGGGAAGGGGAAAAGCAGAGGAGAGATGGGGAAGGGAAGGTCGTGGTCCTGGGCGCAGCCACCGCTGCTACTGGTGCTGACCGTGTGGAAGGCGGCGCACTTGGGGCTGGCGTGGGCTCCCGGGCTCCGGGCCGCGCAGGGCAGGAGGAGGAAGAGGAAGCCTCTGTGAGCACTAACAACGCAGGCGTTCAGTGTGTAGGATCGGACACCTTTGACTCCAGGTGGTGGAGTCACCTGGCTGGTGTGGGAACCAATGATCTGCAGACACCTCCTAAACTTAAACATGGATCATCCCGCAGCGATGCTGTGCCCACCGCTGGGTGAGGGACGGGGTGCCTTGCTCAGCTCCTCCGATGCTAACTGCATCGGCAGAGGCCCTGGGTTTGAGCCCAGGCGTCCCTAAATACATCAAATGCAGAGTCCTGGCTGCCTCCTCCCAAATCCCATAGGGGACGGGGCTGCCCCAGGTCCACGGATAACAGATAAAATACAAACCGTTCACTTAGATTTGAACTGCAGATAAACAACGGGTAGTTTTTGTGGACAACAGAAGAATGAAAACACTTTTCTTTATGGACAGCAAGACAAGGAGAACGTTTCTCAGACTGGGGCCCAGGCGTGTGCCTGATGACCAAAATTTCAAGAAGCCAACCACAAGCTTTCCCAGGAGCACAAGCAAACGCCATGCGCCGCTGCCCTTGGCAACCGAGGACACGGGAGCCCCCAACCACCCGCACCCCAAACACCGCCCCTTAGGGGTCCCCTCTCCTGACTGCCCCCTGTGTGGGTGTCAGGCAGTTTCTTTCTGCACTTACTCTGTTCTTGGTCAGCTCTGTTTTTTCTTTGATGTGGAAAAGATATTTAATTGTAAAATGGGAAAGTAGGTCAGTACAGTCTTAAGGATAATTTCTTCTTTATACAGTATTGGTAATCTTGAGGGGTTTTGGGGTTAAACATTTTCACAAAGCAACAAAACATTAAAAAATAAAGCAAGAAAAAAGGGCTTGATGTTTTACAAAAAGAATGAACAGTCTACCAGAGTTTAATAAATTGTGGAATTTAACAATATTGAAATGACAGCAAATTGCAGAAAGATGCTGAGGGAGAAGGAACAGGTCTGTTAGACATCTCTATAGCATCACTGTAGTGCAAAGGTTCTTATTCTGCATACAAAAGCAATTTCTCGGGCCGGGGATGTAGCTCAGTGGCACGAGTGCCTGCCTGGCAAGAGCAAGGTCCTGAGTTCAATTCTCCGTACCAAAAAAAAAAAAAAAAAAAAAAATCCAAAAGCAATTTCTCCCGTAAGAATAACTTCCCAGGGGAGAGACAGGCAAAGCTTATGAAAGACTTCAGAAACCCATAGACATTGACTCTTTCAAAAATATCATCTTAAAATCTGGTGCCCTAAAGTGCTTTCATGTGGAAATCATGATGGAAGAATACAGTTTCATGTCCTCACAGCGAAATTTTCAAAAAAAGCATAAATTTCACAGACTTTGTATATTCAAGTTCTCTTGTAAGCAGCTGCTTCCAAGAACACTGTCCTCCCAATAAAACCAGCTGCCAGCTTACTTAATTTCAATGCCCTAAAGAATAAAAGGTTTTTTTTTTTTTTTGGCTAACTTTCGTCATCTTTGTGGAAAAAATATCTATGCATGTGATGCATTTTGAAATTATAAAACATGCAGAGTATGTACAAACAGGAAGTTTTAAAATATTTGCTTCCTATACAGGTAAATCTACTTGGGTATAGCTGAGATTGAACACATATGAATGTGAGACAACCTAAAGCTGTATAAAGGTTTCCTGGGAGGAATCGTCTCTCTATATAGAAGTTTATACCCGAAAGAGTAATGGAGTGAACGGTCTGAAACCATGAAGCAAACTAGCCCTTTCCTCTCTTAAATTGCGCGTGTCAGGTATTTCTTCCTAGCAGTGGGAAAGCTGACTGATACAAGTTGCATACTGTAAGTTATTTTTAGGGCTGATAAAATAGGACATAACAATTAGAATAATTCTAAATATATGAAGTACCTGGAATATAAGGGCAAGGTCTCTCCCCTCCCTCCTCCACTTCACCTTCAAGGCAGCTGCTATCACTGGTGTGAGCTGGCATCTTAGACACTGTCACTATGGTCTAGAGGTGACAGAGGACTTCCTGGCTATGCTTTCTTACTTAAATATCCTCTCCTTGGGACGACGATTATCAAATAATGTGCAAAGCCAAGGACTTCTTGGGCTGGGTATATAGCTCAGTGGAAGGGTGCTTGCCTAGCACTCAAGAGGCCCTGGACTCAATCTTCAATGCCGCAAAACAAAATGAAAACCAAGAACTAGGAAAAAGTGGGCGTGGAAAACAGTGTGTCACTGTCAGACGTGCGTCCTCCAGCCCATGGGGGCCACCCCATGCCTGACTCCGCGGCCAACGCCGACTGTTCTCTCAGGTGCCCGGGAGCACCCTAAATTCTGCACTGAATGTGAACTGCAGGACCATGGTGCTTGCAGGGTGTCACTGGCGAGCACGGGTGCAGAGCTCAAGAAGTGGGAGCTGCAGTGGCCCTGCAGGAAGGGTGGGCAAAGTGCCTGCAGCCGTGCAGACCTGTAACCAGAATTGCCCTGGGGCTAGGGGTTCAGCTCAGCAGCGCCGCTCAGTGGTGGAGCACTGGCCTCGCACGCACAGGGCAATGGGCTCATCCGCAGCTCTGCAGCTATAACAGGGGCTGAGCTGAATTATGTCCTCCTTTCGCTTCCACAATATCATCTGTTGAAGTCCGTACCACCAAAAGCTCAGAATGTGACCTCATTTGGAAATAAGCCCACTGCAGGTGTAAGGATGCGGTTGTACTGGAATAGGAAAGGCCCCTGGTCCTATATGACTATGTTCTTTTAAAAAGAACTTTGTGCACAGGAAGATTTGGGGGGACCAGGTGGATACAGATCGGGATGATGCATCTTGCAGCAAAGACACTAAGGACTGCCGGGCGTGGTGGCACAGGCCCGTGACCCCAGCACTTGGGAGACTGAGCAGGAGGATCACTGCCGGCCAGGGCCACATAGTGAGTTCAAGGCCAGCCTGAACGGCATAGCCGGACCCTGTCTCAAAACATGCAAACAAACACATGGCGCATGACCCCAGGGACCCAGGCTGGGAGCGTCAGATTTCTCAGTGTGCAGCGCTGAGTTCAGGTTCCTGGAGGCTGTTTGGTTTCAGCCCTTCTCAGGCTTGTTGAATTCTGTGGGTTTCATAGGACACTGAGCACCCTTCCCCCACTCTTCACCTTATATCACCATCTCATTTATGCCTCACTTGCAAGGGAAGGAAGACCCCAGTCCTGCCCCAGGCTGCTTGGGCTCCTGGGGGAGGGGGTGCGGGCCAGGCTCTGGTGCCCTCCACAGGTGACTTCCGTGGCAAGCCCAGCGAAGCCCTGGCACCTGGGGACTATTTCCGACTTCTGCGATGGGACGTTCTAAGGCGGGTGGATTACCCATGTCTCACAGAGTGAGAGCAGATGGTAGCTGGCCACAAAGAAAGACAAATATCCACCGCTGTCCCTTCCATCCACCCTTCTTGGCACTTTCTCTCACCTTAAAATCCTGTTTTCTAGCCGGGCATGGTGGTGCATGCCTGTAGTCCTAGTGCTCAAGAGGCCGAGGCAGGAGGATTGCCTCAAATTTGAGGCCAGCTTGGGCTACATAGCGAGTTCAAGGCCATTCTGGACTATATACCGAGACACTGTCTCAAAAAACAAAAATCCCGTTTTCTGCTTGGAACAGCAATACATAGTGGTGATGTAAAATGTAAGTGCTGCAGGAATGCAGAATGTCAAAAATCAAAGCCCTCGGGTTTCACGCCCCAGAGATGCCCATCACTATATTTTGGTATGTATGCACTCTTCTGGATTTACAAAAATGCATATGCTAACCTAGGAGGTGAGAAAAATGTACAGTGAATATCTACAGGAGACATCATTACATTAAAATACGCGTTGCTATGAATTCCTCTCAGAATATCCCCCTGCTTGGAACATACACTTCCCGTCATCCTCTGAAGCAGCTCTGGGAGTCCTCTTTCCTGAGTATCTCTACAAGGTATGATGAACAATATGGTGAATGCTGCTGCAGTGTACCATTAATGGAAAGGTAGACTCATAGAAGCATTGCAGCATCCTCATCCACCTTAGTCACCTGTGCCACCTCTGGCTCTTCCCCCAAGTAAAAATGACCATGAAAGGGAAACATTTTGAACC